AGGGTTTTCGGCTTTTTGTTTTCTTTATTTCAGTTCTGTTTTTCTCACTCTGTCATATTCGTTTCTTTCTGCCTTTCTTTCTTCAAACCTTTTCTTCTTGTCATATCTAGCAAGAGAACCCAATATACAAGAGCCCCATTAATAAATTCCAGAATCCGAGTTATGGAAATAAGGGCGTCACACTCTGAGTCTGTACTCTTCTTTGCTGCTTGCATGTGCTTTTTCTTCCTCTTTCTGTCTATTTATCTTTCTATGACTTTAAGAACAACCTCAGAACCATGTATAATATGAACAGTTTCTAAATAGTCATTTGCAGTTATTTAATCTAATTCACTAATTATTAGGACATTTCTTTTTGTGTCATTTTACTCACCAGCACGTCGTTCCAAACCTGTATGACTTAGGATCTGGGGAACACAAAACCTCAGACTCCATTTTTATATGAACTTTTGATCCTTAAAGGAACAGTTTACTCAAAAATTTAAATGTACTCTTCCTCAGGCCATCCAAGATGTAGATGAGTTTGTTTCTTCATCAGAACAGATTCGGAGAAAGTTGCAGTGAATGGGTGCCATCAGAATGAGAGTTCAAACACGGATAAAAACATCACAATAATCCACATGACTCCAGTCCATCAAATAACAATGCTTTTATCAGCTGTTTGGACTCTCATTCTGACGGCACCCATTCACTGCAAGTTTCCCCAAATCTGTTCTGATAAAGCAAGCGATTTCATGATAAATATCTCAAAATTTGTTCTGATGAAGAAACAAACTCATCTTAGATGGCCTGAGGATGAGTACATTTTCATTTCTGGATGAAAAATGAATAAAATTTCCAATACTTAAAAAGCTTAGGTATTTAAGTTCAAGTTCAAGTTGAGCTTTATTGTCATTCTGCTGCATGTGGGGACATACAGTGGAACGAAATGTCGTGCCTCACAGGACCACGGTGTTACATAAATACAGGCATACAACAATGAAGTAAAACAGTAAAAACCTATACAGTAAAGCAGTAAAAACCTATACACAACTAACCTACTGACTGATTTTGATTATAAATATACTATATATATATATAAATGTTTACCTATACATAAGTTAAAAAAATACAGACTATACGGATGCTTCACATAAACACTGTACCTATACACAGCTAACCTACTGACAGATTTTGACTATGAAACTATAAAGGTATTTAATTGCTGCATATACAATATAACAGTGTTTGTGTTTGATTGTGTGCCTTTTGTAATGCTTGCTAGTTTTAATATACTTTTTTTTACAACCAGAGTTTACTGTATTTGCTGTTAAGTGTCCTAACCTGGCAACTGTGTAGTTATATTAAAGGTTGATCTAATTATCCTCTCTTCATCACCATTGATCTCCAGGGTGAGAACCCCATTTACAAGAGTGCTGTGACGACGGTGGTCAACCCTAAATACGAGGGCAAGTAATGGATGAACGTGTCCATCTTCAAGCAACACTGTATGCAGAACAATTCAAGAGGAACGGAAGAGTTGAAGTTCACTTTGTTTATTTTCTTTTTTGTCTGTGTGTGTGTGTGTTTTAAATCACCTTTTGGCTGTGCATTTGCCACTGTTCAGTATAATCTATTAACCTGTGTTTCTATGCATCGTTTTGGAACTGTACAGTATGTATAAACTTGAGTTTTTACTTTTTTATGCAATCTTAGACAATAATTTCAATGTTCAGTTTTGATTTTTAGCCACAGATCTGCCTTGTTTTTCTGAATGTTAAAACTGATCATGTTGGTTTAGATGACGGGTTTTGTAGGTATGATGTGGTCAAGTATGCATGAAGAATGAATATCCACAAAGACTAGACACAATTACCGGCTTGAGTCCAGTAACTAGTTGCTCATTAGAGCCAGTTTGTGTCTTATGATGGTGCAGGAAACTTTCTGAACCTGTGGATGGAGTGTCCTGTCACTGGTATAGTAGGTAGCTGTAGCGGACCACTGATGTTTGTACACATGGTGCTTTTCATGTAGACGCTTATGTCGTCTGCATAATCCTGGATGATTTGAGTCAAGATTCTAATGTTTAGGTCTATGTGACCATGGATCTGTGTGCTCACGTCACCTTCCTTTGGTCTGCGAGTCAAATGGTTTAGTGTCCTTTTAATTGATTTTAATGAATCTAAAATTGACAGGTTTAGTATCTTTTAATTACGTCACACAAAAATGTACATTTGTTGTAATTTCATTTGTCAAGTGTTTGGCAACATCTGAGTTGTTAGAGGGACATTTTCATCATTGTCTGTGAATGGAACAATCAACTTTATTATTATTATTATTATTATTGAAAACATGAGCGTAAACTCATATGAAAAGATCTTCAGGTTTTAGATTTGTTTGAAGAATGAGGAAATGAAAACTCAGGTCCTGAATTTCTCTCTATCACTGATGCCAAATATTTACGTCTACTGTGCAAGAACTATATTCCAGATGTGGATTTCACATTTGTTTTTGTAATTTAATTTGTCCCTTTGTAACATCATTGTTCATAAATGAGACTGACTGCTCAGATTATTGTTGGTAAAGATCAGTGTTAAAGAAAGATAACTTGTTTTTTCCTTTTATTTTCACTTTTTTAATCTCTAAAGCTTTCAAAAGCTTAATCGTGCTGCATACACACTTTGCATTTTAAAGTGCCTTTTTCATTTTTTGCATCATGCCCACTGTCTTTTGTTTCTAGGAGTTATTTATTAAAATAAACAACCCAAAACACTGGACTGCATTGTTATCTGTGTCTGTGAGTCAGCATGCTTTATAATTTAATGTAATGTCATTCTAATACAGAGATTTTACAGTTTAAGTATGTCTGTTTTTGGTAGCAATGTGAATTTTTGCACCGAACTGCTGCTATTTGTGCGTTATGGCTATGTTTAGAATAGTTCACTAGCTTAATACTCATTAAATATTGTGCAGTGTACACTATAAACTATACACTGCCTACTATTTACTTAAAACCATAGACTTTATTCTACAATAAATATGTAATTGATCTGTATGCCATCTGTGTATTCTGTGCATGTCATATGTGCTGTATACTGCAGGAGTAATAGTGAGTTAGTATGCTATTCGTAACAGCCAATATGTGCTTTTCCCAATATGTGCTTTTCTCCTCTTACTGCTACATAGTGATTGGTTGTCCCACCCAAACCTCACAATCCTTCAGTCTGTGTGTGTGTGTGTGAGGTGTGAGACTGCTGCTGCTGTATCTGAACTACTGAACAAGACATCAGGAAAAGTTGAGCATATAGACATTTACTTCATAAACAGATTTCTTGAAAGAGCCTTAGGAGTTAAGGTAAGTAACTAAGACTTTATATATATATATACAGTGCCGTGAAATGGTTACACAAAGATAACCCGGGTAAATATAAAATGCAGTTTTGAAATAATGATTTCATTTATTAAGGGAAAAAATCTGTCCAAACTAGTGTTAATTTTGTCAGCTATTTTTTTATTTTAGTCTTAGTCCCGTGTTAAATGTCCTTGTTAGTTATTATCATATTTAGTCAACCTTATCCTATTTAGTTTTAGTCGACTAAAAGTCTCAACATTTTAGTCTAGTTTTAGTCAAAGAAAATCTAAAGTGTTTTAGTCAAATAAAACCTGACATTTTAACAATAAGATTATTATTAATTAACCGTACAGCAGTATTAATTTTGGCAGCCATTTTTAATTTAGTCTTAGTCTTACTCTTACTCAAATCAATGTACATTTTAGTTATCATATTAAGTCAACCGTGTCCTGTTTTTGTTTAGTCAAGTTTAAGTCAATGAAATGTATGAGCATTTTAGTAAGGTTTTAGTTCAATCTTACATTTTCGGCATGCTGTATAATGGTTAAACTGATAAAAAATTATTTTTGCTCAAATTTATAATCGTAATGATTGTTGTCATTTGAGAAATTTACTTTTGCATTTCAGGCATTGCACTTTCACCAGTAAGCACAAATCAATAGAACGTGGACTCGTGGTCAGGGGCGATTCTAGGATTTTCATTTTAGGGGGGCTCAGCCCCAGTGTGGGTTTAATAATAACAGCCTAATAATAAAAAATATATATAAATAAGATTTAAAAAATTTAATTAATAGGGGTCGTATACTAAACTTATTGCAGTATTCCACTCTATTTCATAGATGGTATAACATATTAATGTTAAAGTACTGAATAAGCCAAATTCAAGTCTTCATGATCTCACACACACAACCTGTTTACTGTACAAACACAAAATTGTACTGTTTGCATTTCTAGTATAACTAGAACTAGCAGGGGTCGGCAACCCGCGGCTCTTTCACTCCTCTGTGGTGGCGCCCTGTAGCATGGGCATAGAATACGCGGGAGACTGTTCCCCTGACTTTTAAAGGGGCCATATGATGCGATTTCTACTTTTCTTTTTCTTTAGTGTGTTATGTAGCTATTTGTGCATGTATAAGATCTGCAGAGTTACAAAGCTCAAAGTCTCCCACAAAAGGATTTATTCTATCTAAAAGAGAAGGCTGATCCAGACCGGGCTAAAAACGCCTCATTCAAACACACCCCCACATCTCTACGTCACGATGTGGAAATATTTGCGTAATGCCGCCCAAATGTTCATGCAAAGAAAGAAGGCGTGGTTTCAGGAACTGCAGTAGTGTTGATGCAGCCATGTCAGGGAGACACTCGCTGTGTGTTTCTGTGCTAAAGCAAAAGCACTTTATTTGGCCTTCCGGAAGTAGATGCAATGAGGAATCATTGATTAAGATTTATTTACAACAGAACAGCACAACCCAGATGTTCGAATTTGTGCAACGTATTTTATGGACGACAGTTTTGTGAACCTAGGAGAGTAGCCTACAAGACTGGCTACTGGCTAAATTTGAGCGCAGGAAAATACAGTTTATGCATTCAGCAAATTAATTATGTGTTGGGCAATGGACCTTGTTGGGAAACCAAATACTACATCGCCGATCTTGAGCCATCTCCATTCATGCCACCCATCCGCGTTTGTACAAGTGTCTTCCAAGTTCCCGTGATCGCAAACGCCTGGCTGGTCAGGTTTGGTGAGGCTTTCTCCAAACTGGCCAAATACAAACGAGACAGTGATAAATGAAAGATGTTAACAGGAAATGTGGCAACGATTCCTATTTCAAAGAGAGCGCATGCAGAAGAGGAGTTAATGCGCCTGCTTGTTAGGCGGCGGAACAGTTCTTTTTCGGAACATATTCTGTTACACCAAATACACAAAATAATGATCTTTAAAATAGCATCACATGACCCCTTTAATAAAACCTAAACTCTTCCCCTGCACTTTTTTCGGACAAGTGTGTTCACGTAGACGTTTTCAAGGGCCAGTGTGAATAAATCTAGATTTAAATTAAAAGAGACAAGATAGTCACGTCCTTTTGGATACGTTTTATTCGTATCCAAATTGACGTGAACATTACGGAGCGCTCAACACTCTCCCGCAGTGTCTCATTCATACTCGAAGCTGGAGGACGCTCTCACGCAGAAAGTCCAAAATGGACTCCTAGAAGTAGTAATAACTTTTGACGTGCAGGAAATCCCTAATATAGACAAAGGCATCCAGCAATCACTGTAGCTAAGCTGAATAACAAGCATAAACCATAACTAATGAAACATGAAGACAATAAACGATTGCAACAATATATGGTTTGTGTGTGTTTTTCAAGGAAATAAAGTATATGAATGATACAGTGCTAACTGACATAGCATTTATTACAGTAGCTACCAAAAATATTATAGAATACAAATGATTGGTTATTGTCCAGCACTGTATTTTATTTCTTAGCCAATTAAAAGTAAGACATAAAAGTTTTTTGTCAATTAGACAAACATACATAAATAATAATAATTCTTTATTATTATCACTTCTGAAATGATTGCTACGCCCCTGCCCTGTAACATAACTGAATATAAAACTTTAGCTATATGCTGTGTTATCGTCATTTTAGGGATTAAATAAGTTTTGTGGCTCCACATGAAATTTATTCGGTGTGAAAGGGGCCAAAATGGCTCTTTTGATGTTGAAGGTTGCAGACCCCTAAACTAGGGCTATAGCCCCCCTAAAAATGGCCTAGCGACGCCCATGCTCTGGGTGTATTTTACCTCATCTAGTGTACTGATTTATTATAGGCTTTTTATTATATAATTTAATACCAAAGACTTATGCAATCTCTCTGTCTACATTATGAAAACTGCTAAAAGAAACGAAAAATTTAACAGTGAAATTTCAAATTGCAATAGCCTACTTATCTATTAAAACAACAGCGGTCGAGTAAGTGCATTTATACAGCAACCACAACTGCAAACAATATAGTTGAGATCTCATGACAGAACACAGACCGGCTGAATGATGCTTTCATTTTGATCGCTAAACTCCAACATGTTTGTCGGTGTTTTCAGATCATCGGCGGCGGCGCTTCCGCAATAAGGAGCGAGCTCGTGCAAATGGTTGCCAGATTGCTTAAAATAAGTAAAACACCGGGCAGAAAATGTATGCTTGTAATAGCGAAGCTCTGATTCGGGGATTGGAACTTTTGATATCTGGCAACCGCACTCATGAAAGCTCGCGTAGTAGAGGTGTGTAGAGCAGTCCGCAATAACATTGTCTCCTTTTTTGACGAAAATAAAGGTTTTTGTTAAAGTTTTTATTTTTTTGAATACATTTTAGTCTCGTCTTATTTCGTCAACGAAATTGCATGTTGATATAGTCATAGTTAACGATTATTGACCTTGTCGTCTCGTCTTCGTATTGTCTTAGTCATGGGAAAAAAGCTCGTCAACGAACATTTTTCTTCATAGTCTTCGTTAATGAAATTAACACTAGTCCAAACCTGTCTGGCCCTACGTGAAAAAGTAATTGCCCCCTAAATCTAATAACTGGTTGTGCCACGCTTTGCAGCAACAACTGCAATCAAGTGTTTGCGATAACTGGCAATGAGTCTTTCACATCGCTGTGGAGAAATTTTGGCCCACTCTTCTTTGCAAAATTGTTTTAATTCAGCCACATTGGAGGGTTTTTGTTTCGAGCATGAAAAGACTGTTTAAGGTCATGCCACAGCATCTCAATCGGATTTAAGTCCGGACTTTGACTTGGCCACTCCAAAACCTTAATTTTGTTTTTCTTGAGCCATCCAGAGGTGGACTTGCTGGTGTGTTTGGGATCATTGTCCTGCTACATCACCCAAGTGCGCTTGAACTTGAGGTCACAAACTGACGGCCGGACATTCTCCTTCAGGATTTTCTGATAGAGTGCAGAATTCATGGTTCCGTCAATTATGGCAAGTCGTCCAGGTCCTGAAGCTGCAAAGCAGCCCCAGATCATCACACTACCACACCGTGTTTGACTGTTGGTATGATGTTCTTTTTATGAAATGCTGTGTTGGTTTTACGCCAGATGTAACGGGACACACACCTTCCAAAAAGTTCAGTCTCTTTCTTATTGTTGAATCATAAACACTGACCTTAATTGAGGCAAGTGAGGCCTGCAGTTCTTTAGATGTTGTTCTGGGTTCTTTTATGACCTCGTCGTTGTGCTCTTGAGAGTAATTTTGGTAGACCAGCCACTCCTGGGAAGGTTCACCACTGTTACAAGTTTTCTCCATTTGTGGATAATGGCTCAGACCGTGGTTCGCTGGAGTCCCAAAGCCTTAGAAATGACTTTATAACCCTTTCCAGACTGATACATGTCAACTATTTTGTAAAGGGATCTCATTATAATATTACCGCCCCTTAATATGTAAATTTACACCCAAGACACCGATATTTTGATTTCACAAGTGACAACGGTGTACAGTTCTAATGCCATGGCGAAAGTTTGAGCAAAGCATGCTAACTGTTCTGCCTTTGGCTGCACTGACAAGCACAAAACACTATTTAGAGTCCCAGCAGGATTTATTGATTTATTTACTGTATATTGCTGCTGCCACACAGATCTAAAATAAACATGCGATTTATTGCGGATGCGGATGCGGATGTGTGCACTCAGAAAACCGTATATCAGAAGTATAAACTCATATGGTTTAATACGCATGATTTCAGCGCTATAAACATAATAATCAGAACCAAAACAGACGTTTTTAGCAGGTCCGAGCTGTAATACCAGAGACTTATATTACATATTGTTAAAAGGGGCATAATATGTCTCCTTTAACAGGAGGGGCAATTAATTTTTCACGTAGGGCCAGGTAGGTTTGGACAGTTTTTTTCCCTTAATAAATTAAATCATCATTTTTCAAACCTTCACGCTGTGATGACAGAGATTCTCTGGAAAAGGCTCGTTGCACTCCACTCAGCATAGAAAACCCTCGAGGAACGGTCACCATCAACAAGAACAAACCCGTCACAAACCGTAAAATTGATGGAGGACAGAATCTGAGGCCTGATGAGATCACCCAGATTCAGCCACAGAAACTCACTCTGAACCTCCGATCAGGAACTGGACCCTATCTGTGAACAACAAAAACATCACTGGATGTGTCTGAATGTGTTGTGAGATATAAATCAAGTTCATCTAAAATGTAATTTCTTCATTTACTCACCCATATGTTTTTCCAAACCTGTATGTATTATTTCCTTCATGGACCACAGAAGGATTTCCGAAGAACATATTTGCCACACTTTTCAATATAATGAAAGTGAATAAGGACTGAGGATGCTTGTGAAGGGGAAAAAAATGAACAAAAAAAGTAATAGTAATTACCATAAAAGTACTATAAATGTGGGCATTAAAGACTCGTTATGTCATATTCCAAATCTTCTAAATCTATACATTAGATTTGTAAAAGAAATCGGCCAATATTTATTCACTGAAAACCTTGACATGCGCTCTCATTGCCATTCACAGGAAAATCAACAAGAGTCTGACTAATAAACGAATCATTTTTTGAGTTGATCCTTTTCAATTAATCAGCTGATGTAGTTCACCGAGCTGGCCTGAAAGTCTTGTTCACGAATGGATTCGGTTCTCGAGTTCACCCACTGACTGACATAAATAATATTCTGCATAAGAGAGTTAGTCACTGGGAAATGGTGATAGCCTATTGAATCTGACTGAAAGTTGTTGTGTACGTATTTTGCGTTCAGACAGCAATATATGTATTTCTGCAAATGCCAAAACATGTGGAGAGTGTATTCAGATCGGGCCACAGTGTGCGTGGTGCAAAGATCCTGTAAGTTATTTTGTCTACAAAGCTTGATCGTCTTCTCTTGACTCTGGAAGATGATCTGAGTCTTACCAGAATGTGTACTTAGCAAGTCTCTGCTTGCATCTTAACAGGGTTTCAAACCTTCACGCTGTGATGACAGAGATTCTCTGGAAAAGGCTCGTTGCACTCCACTCAGCATAGAAAACCCTCGAGGAACGGTCACCATCAACAAGAACAAACCCGTCACAAACCGTAAAATTGATGGAGGACAGAATCTGAGGCCTGATGAGATCACCCAGATTCAGCCACAGAAACTCACCCTGAACCTCCGATCAGGTACTGGACCCCAACATCACTAGATGTGTTTGTGAGATAAAGAATAAGGACAAACGTTTTTTCATGAAAAAAAAAATTTCATCATTTACTCACCCTCATGCTGTTCCAAACATGTATGACTTTGTTTCTTTCATGGACCACAAAAGGAGAATTTCTGAAGAATATTTGTATTTTCCAATACAATGAAAATGAATGAAAACTGAGAGGACGCTTGTGAATGAGAAAATGAACAAAAAAACACAATGTAGCCTACTATGAATGTGGTCCAACCCATATGCAAGTCTGTGTATTAACTCAAAATTTTGACATCCACCATCCACTCTCCTTGACAAGCCGTGATGTCTGATTCATTAAACGAATTGTTCTTTTGAGTTTAATCTTTTACCGAGCCAGTCTGGATGACTCGTTCATGAATTCGATTGATTGGATTGATTCGGTTCTCAAGTTAAACTCGCTGATTCAATATTCGAGTCAAGATGATCGGTGACTCAACGAGTCAAATTTCCAGTTGTTTGTCAAGCAGAACTATTGTATATCTTCAGAAGATTTGTAATGTAATGCACAAGTCGATATTTTATTATATTTTGTTGTTTTGTTTTGGAGTTTGACAGCTCTTGGCAGTCCTAATTCACTTTCATCGTGTTGAAAAGAGTGACCAGGATATTTATTTATTTTGTAAAAATAATCTTTTGTGTTCTGCATAAGCAAAAAAAGTAATACGACATGAGGGTAAATGATGTTGTTTTTACTATTAAGTGAATTATTCTTGTAATTATAAATAATAACTGGTCACCTATAAACAGAGGCGGACAAAGTACTCAATTCCATTACTTGAGTGAATACTCTAAAAAAATGGACAAACCCAGCTATTGGGTTGTTTTAACCCAGCATTTTTTAGAGTGAAAGTACAGATACTGCTGGTCAAATATTACTCCATTACAAGTAAAAGTTGTAAAGACAGATTTTGACTTAAGTAAAGGTACAGAAGTACTTGCTTTTAAAAGTACTTAAGTACCAAAAGTAAATTTCCTTTCTTATGTCAATGCACTGTTTTATTGTTGTACGTAATACTTGCAATACTTTTGAAGCAACATAGAATACATTACACCTACTGAATACACTGACTAGCTTGTAGTATCTTTGGAATAAAGAGCTTTTAGAATGTTAAAAACCTATGGGGGAAAAAAAATAATTATTTAACACCCCTACCCACCCCCACAAAAGCAGGATGGTAGTGATCTCACATAGCTCTGACAGTGTGTGCATTAAAACCCAGCAACACAACTGTAGCTGTATAACTTTTACAACAGCAACACAATAAAGCAAAACAGCAAGACTTATTTGACATCAAAACAACATTTTTAAAAATGCCGTCTAATCGCTCTCGCGGTACTTTGATGTCACACACAAAATGGTCTGTGCAGTGCTGCTTCAAGTCCAACATCTATTGTGTTTTATTAGGAGATGCACAACAGTTCTTCTGTGGCTTTATAGGTAATATTTTCACGTACACAATTTAGCAAAATCAGACAATATTGTGTCTAATATATACCACAATATTAACTTCTTATTATTTAATTGTTTTAAATAAATATAACATTTGCAATTGTTCAGTGTTCAAAAAAATGCTGGGAAATCACTTCATGTAGCCCTACAAGAGTGATTACTGATAAACTGTCTGAAAACAATACAGTTTTTAGAGAAGAAAGAAATCACCCACTGACTTTCAAAGCTGCTAACGACTTTCTACTTCAAGTACCTTCATAGAAATGCAGTGGAGTGAAAAGTACAATATTTGTCTTTCAAATGTAGTGAAGTTAAAGTCACAAGTTCCCAGAAAAAATAATACTCAAGTAAAGATACTCAAAAAGTGTACTTAAGTACAATACTCAAGTAAATGTACTTAGTTACTGTCCGCCTCTGCCTATAAAGTAAGTTTAGCATGTTTTATATTTCTTTTTGTCTCTCGATCGTCTTTGTCACCCTACAGGTGAATCACAGAAGTTTACTCTCAAGTTCAAGAGGGCAGAAGATGATCCCATCGATCTGTACTTCCTGATGGACCTCAGCGACTCCATGCAAAATAATCTTGAGAATGTCAAGAACCTGGGAACCGAACTTGCCAGGGTGATGCAGCCCATCACAAAAGACCTGCGGATAGGTTAGGAGAACACATGCTCACATTCACACCTGCGTACGCTTTTATTGTTAAATGATCTGCTAACTCTTGTTTGCAGGTTTTGGTTTATTCTTGGAGAAACCTTTCATTCCGGTGACGCCAACATATCTGAAGAACCCATGTTTTTCAAACAATTGCACAGCCCGCTTCAGCTACATAAATGTCCTGAACTTGACAGATGACACTGCATTGTTCACTCAAGAAGTCAGCAAGCAGAAAACCTCTGGAAACCTGGACTCTTCAGAGGCAGGATTTCAAGCAATCATGCAAGCTGCTGTCTGCACAGTGAGTAGAGCTGAACATTCCCTGAATGCCAGAGAACTATGGGCAGGGCCGGAATTACACATAGGCATGCACGTGCCTATGCTCGCTCGTCCAGGGGGGCCCATACACAATGAAGAGATATAGCTGTAATATTTTTGCTATACTATGGGCTATCTATAACAGTAAAAGAACCAAAACCCCAAAAGACATTGAGCAAATAAATATAATGAACAATAGGTTAAAATATGACAAACTATTTCCATGTTTTCCACCTTTTTTATGTACGTAAATCACGTTTTCTTTCTCCTGTTCTCTCGCACCCACGCACACGTGGAGACGCAAACAAAAACTAGTTGTCAGCGATGTTTTTAAATTTATCGATAAAATAGTTTTAGCAGTTCAACTTAAAGATTTGCCATTAGTAGACGCAGCTGCTGAACACTGTTGAGAGACACAGACGCAGGTATTTACACGCGCTTAATCTCTCTCTCTCTCTAATAACTGCACCAGACTGCATTAATAACTGCATTAGCCTGCATATGAATGGCTCAAGCCTCTGTTTTTAGCTCTAAAATGATGTTTTGGAAATTGCAATGGAAGGTTTATGAGGTGCACAAGAAATTAGCTCAACACACATGAGATTTCAGGAGAGAAACATGACAAATGTCTTGAAATAAATCATCCGAACAATGTCTTGAGGTGTGGTTGTGACTCCAGGCCGTTAAAATTTTTTTGTTCCAATAAAATAGTTTTTCTAATGGAAAATACTCCAAATTTAGAAATTCAGAAGCTGAACTCAGATTTTCTTATAATGTATACATACTTCATCATTATCTTCATATACTGGTTCTGACTGTCACCCGAGGGTTGTGATTTAATTTTAAAACACTAAGCGTGTAGTCAGTGTGTGATTGAGCCTTTGTAAAATCAGAAACACACTCAATATCTCATTGAGTCCTAGGGAGCAGCATGCAACAAGTTTGGACAAAATCTGACCATTTGAAGCTGTGTTCTATCTGCTGTGTTTTGATTGTATTTCAGGAAGTGATCGGCTGGAGGAATGTTACTCGCCTCCTTGTGTTCTCCACGGATGCTGGATTCCATTTTGCTGGAGATGGAAAACTGGGTGGCATTGTTCGACCAAATGATGGGAAATGCCATCTGGAGAATAATATGTACACCATGAGCAACTACTTTGTAAGTATGTGTTTTATAGATAGATAGATAGATAGATAGATATTCAGACAGTCAGAGAGACCACTGGAAATGTCAGAATGTGTCTTTGATTTCAGTTGTTTTTAACAGGACTACCCCACCATCTCTCAGCTGGTAGACACACTGAGTGACAACAACATTCAGACCATTTTTGCTGTGACACAGCAATTCAGAGATCTTTATCAGGTGTGTGCAATATGTGTATTATATCTTCTCCACATTGCAACAACATCATGTTCATCATCTCATAATATAAGCATCAGGATTAACTCAGATTGTAGTCTGTATTGACTCATAATGCATTTGTGTTAAGGTGACCAAACGTGCCACTTCCCGGGGACATGTTCTGCCCTGGATTTCTAAATTACCTAAAATAACCAGGTTTTGGCCGTTTGTGCTGTGCAGATCGATCGTTTTATGACATCTAGTACCACAAGAGCGATAGAGAGCAGAGCAGATGGCTCCTTATGCTTACGAATCGCTCTCGCTGTACTTTGATCGTTATTTTAGGCAAATGTGTGTGTGTGTGTGTGTGTGTGTGTGTGTGTGTGTGTGTGTGCAATAGGAGCTGTCTGCTCTAATTCCTAAATCAGCAGTGGGGACGCTGTCTACCAACCCTTCCAGTGTCGTCCAGCTCATCATTGATGCATATAATGTGAGTTCAAGTTATTTATATAATGTCTGTATGTAAGTAATGGATGGCTGTGGTCAGTTCTAGTTCATTTTAGGGCAGGAATGCACAAACGTCTTCCTGGAGGGCCACTATGCTGCAGAGTTTAGCTCCAACCCTAATTAAACAAACCTGAACCAGCTTATCAAGGTCTTCAGACTCACTAGAAACTGTGTATCCCACAGAACAAAAAACTCATACAGGTTTAAAATGACATGAGGGTGAGTAATTGATGACAGAATGTGAGTGAACTATCCCTTTAAAAGTAGTATTTGAATGAATATTTGCAAAGCACTAATGTACTCTTTGTGTTTAATTGTGTCAATCAGTCTTTGTCCTCAGCGGTCATTCTGGAGAACAGCAAGCTACCTGCTGGGGTGTCCATCTCCTACATCTCCCACTGCAAGAATGGAGTGAGCGAAAAAGGAGAAAATGGGAGAAAGTGCTCCAACATCTCCATTGGGGATGAGGTGAGAGAGTGAGCGACTAACTGCATTGTTTAAATAAATAAATAAAGTTAAATTTACTGGCGTCTGTGATTGCCTGAAATGTACCGTAAATAAATAGTGACAATATTTTGAATATTTGAACATATTTGTCAAAATTGAAAGTTCCCCTAACTTAAAGGTGCAGTAGGAGATCTTGGAAAGTGCTAACTTTAGCCTGATAGCACTGAGAGCGAACGTCCCACCCCTTCCTAATTCCAGCCCATGTTCCGAAGTGAAGTAAACCCCTGCTCAGGGAGTAGGGAGCAGTAAACACTGTGTAGGGATCATATCGATTGGAACACAGTTCATGACTTAGCTCAGTTCTAACGAGTTGGTTATCAGGTGTGTTAACTAAGCGAGACATGCAAAATATGTGCACGAGGACTGGAATTGGGAACCGCTGGGCTACATCATGTGTCATTCACCGGCGAGAAAACTTTAAAAGTACTACAATACCAGGAAAGGACGATCTGGTTGTTGATGTTTGTCTGCCATTCTCGCTCTGTCTGCACAGTGTGCGTGAACGCGCTGATGACTATCCTGTCTGCGCGAACCGGGTGCGCAGAGGTATGCAGATACATATGTTGACAGAATATATAAATACAGATAAATACATTTAGACCACTTAACATAATGATTGCTATCGGGATGTTTAGAGACTTTCAACCAGCATAACAAAAAATGTTTCTGAAGACAATTACCTATTGCACCTTAAATATCTGAGTATAGCTTAAAAAATATGTAACACAAGTTACATTACCTCCCATTTTTTACATTCTGATGACTTAATACACTAAAATAATGTAATAAACATTAAATAAATAACATAAATTGATTGTAACACAAACCACCCTAATGTACACCACTGATAACAAAAATGACAATTTGTAGTTTTTACTTACAAAAAACATTTTTGTCAGTATTTTATAGTAAAGAGCTCCTGTCTTGTAATGTGCATGAGGCCTTAACATTCTAAAGAACATGTCACAAATAAAACTAACCCTACACACCCTACGGGCTATTTCAATTCCCATAAATAATATGCACCTGTTATTTAAAACAATGTGTTGTGCCTCATAGGTGAAGTTTGATATAGAAATCACGGCTAAGGGCTGTCCATCTAAAGGTAAATCAGAGACTATAAAGATCAAGCCGCTGGGCTTCACTGAGGAGGTGGAGATCGTCCTCAACTTCATCTGCAAATGTGAGTGTCATAAAGACGGAGTCCCAAACAGTCCGGAGTGTAGCGGCGTCCATGGCACTCTGGAGTGTGGAGTATGCAGGTTTGAGAGGCTGTTAATCTCATATGCAAATGCAGATAATATAATGATCTGATTTAACGTTTTCTCTCATATCAGGTGTAATGAAGGCCGGTTAGGCAGATTATGTGAGTGCAGCCAAGATGAGGTCCTGACAGACGATCTGGACGCAAACTGCCGCAAGGATAAGGGGACAGACATCTGCAGCAACAATGGAGAATGTGTCTGTGGAACGTGTGAGTGCAAAAAAAGAGACAACCCAGAGGAGAGATACAGCGGACTGTTCTGTGAGTGTGACAACTTCAACTGCGACCGCTCCAACAACAAGCTCTGCGGAGGTACAACCCATTTTGTACTAAATATTAAGCCTAAAAAAAAGGCTTAATATATCTTAATTAAGTCGTACTGCTTAAATGTATCTGGATTTAAGAATTTTTAGATATTTGTACTGGAAAACAGGACAGAAATACTAATATTTTTGCAGTGAAAGTCTTTTCTTCTATAAAATGTATCAAAATCAATTGAATTTGCTTAAACAAGAAAAAAATCTGAAAAATTATCGTTTCCCTTTGAATTAAGTTAGTTTTTCTTACCATATTTTATAATTAATATTTGATAATATTTGATAAATTTGCCAGAAAAAAAAAAGTTCATATTTTGAATCATTTTCATTTACAAGTAAATGTATCTTGATTTAAAAAATTAGATATTTTTACTGGAAAACAAGAAAAAATATTATTATTATTTTATTTTATTTATTTATTTATTTTTATTTTTGGAAGTGAATTAGGAAACTTATTACTGTGGCATTTTTTTCCCCACAGGTCATGGTCAATGTGAATGCCGAAAGTGTATCTGTGATGCTAACTACACAGGAAGTGCTTGCGACTGCTCTTTGGACACCTCAACCTGTCTGGCCAGTAACAAACAGATCTGTAACGGTCGGGGCATCTGCGAGTGCGGCGTGTGTAAATGTACCGACTCAAAGTTTCAGGGTCCAACCTGTGAAATCTGCCCAACCTGCCCTGGAGTTTGTACTGAACACAAGTGAGTTACTAACAGGACATTTGCTTGAACAACTGGCTCAGCTAGCAGCACTAAATATATTCGCCTGGCTTTCCTCACAGGGATTGCGTCCAGTGCCGAGCATTTGGTACTGGTGACAAGAAAGACACATGTGAGAAAGAATGTAGCTACTTCAATCTTATAATAAAGAAGAAGAAGGAGGAACTTCCTCAGCCCAACGACCAGCCCTACATCAATCACTGCAAAGAGCGTGACGCTAACGACTGTTGGTTCTTCTTCACCTACGCTACCAAGAACGACGGCACCGTTGAAGTCCATGTGGCAGAGGAGCTTGGTAAGTGGAAGATGAAATAAGTACCAGCAGGTCTTGAGTTATATTTTTTTAGTTAACTAGTTATATTGTTACTACACAGGAAGTGCTTGCGACTGCTCTTTGGACACCTCAACCTGTCTGGCCAGTAACAAACAGATCTGTAACGGTCGGGGCACCTGCGAGTGTGGTGTGTGTGTAGATGTACCGACCCAAATTTTTATGGTCCGACCTGTGAAATCTGCCCAACCTGCCCTGGAGTTTGACTTTCAATGACTTTCTTTATTTGAATGCAGGCGAGCTATTGGCAGAATTCTTGCTAAATATAATCACGATTATAAGCGGCGATTATCAGCATCCAAGCACCAATGGCTACGACTTAGCTTCTCTGACACCCAGACAGTTTAAATCCAGAAAAAGGAAAAATATAGCCACAAGTGACAACCATTGGGATTTAAGCATCAATGGGCCACTGTATGATTAGCAATCCAACTGAAATGTCTAATGACGTGGTTTTTACAGCAAAGTCCATACTGAATCTTTACTGAGACTGATAGGGTTTAATGAAACAGGTTACAGCAACACACTGGTGTCAAAGGAGACAACTCATGTCAACTGTCAACAAACCCTCTGTAATTTTTTTCTGTCAAAAGATGTCGTGTATGTGCATAGGATGCCATAGGTCAACAAGAAGATGATGATTGCTGTGCTATGCTTGCATGTTGTTTTAGCCTAGTCTTTTAGGATATTGATCATATATTTCCACATATTATATTATTGTAAAACTGTGTTTACTATACAGAGCAAACTGTCATATTGTCATTACCAAAACAACATGTTAGAAAACATACATAAATAGAATAATTCTAGGGCTTGAGAGGTGTTTTAGGTTACATGAGAATGTGTTATTCATACCACAATACTAAATAATTGTGTCTTTTTTTAATTATTATTATTTTTATGTCTTTTTATTCATATAGGATAGAAGAGAGATGACAGGAAATTACTGGGAGGAGAGAGGGGAGCGGGATCGGCAAAGGACCTCGAGACGGGAATCGAACTCGGGTCGCCATGAGCGCAGTTGTGCTATTTGTCGACGCACTAAACACGGGGTTATTGGCGCTGACAATAATTGTGTCTTTATAGAAATTTTATAGATGTATTTCCTTAAGAGAAGCAAATAAAATAGTCTTTTAATTTTAAATGGACAGAAATATATTTGTCTTGCACCTTGATTTAAGTGTCAATTTTTCGAAATTGAGATGTATACATCCTCTGATAGCTGAATATATAAGCTTTCCATTGATGTATAGTTTGTTAGGATAGGACAATATTTGGCTGAGATACAACTATTTGAAAATCTGAAATCTGATGGTGCAAAAAAATCAAAATATTGAGAAAATCGCCTTTAAAGTTGTCCAAATGAAGTTCTTAGCAATGCATATTACTAATCAAAAATGAAGTTTTGATATATTTACGGTACAAAATTTACAAAATACTTAATATACTAATGATTTTTGCCATAAAAGAAAAATTGATAATTTTGACCCATACAATGTACTTTTGGCTATTGTTACAAATATACCCCAGCGACTTAAGACTGGTTTTGTGGTCCAGGGTCACAGATCTGTTTTGAGCTTTATTGGGATATAAAGGTTAGAACATTTAATGATCTATGAGCGATTTCTTTGTAACTAATTATATAAAATTATATTACCAGTGCACCATAATTTTACAAATAAAATTATTTATTTGAGCATTTATTTATCTTTCATTTATCATTTTATTTATCAAGATATCGTATCCTGCAGGTTCTTCTAGTGGACAAAATTAACATTACATCCATCACCTTTCAGTTGAAATGGCTGAAATCCCTTTATGGTGCCCAACAGAATCCAGCTGCCTCTCCTGTCCTTTGAATATGATACAAGAGCACAAATATTTCATTCATTAAATCTTCTATGGGTGATTTCTGGATAGATAATATTATTTTTATTACTGATGCTTAAGTCTTATTTCCTCCTCTACCCATGTTAAACCTAGTATAATGGCAATTATTTCTATAGAATATATTGATATTTTAGATGTTTGTCTTTTTGACATTTCTACACATAATTCTGGAATATACACCTTATCCAACTGAATCTTTTGATCCATCTGTATATATGTGTACTTTCAGTTTTGTGCAAATTTTCCCTGAATATGCTCCTTTGCATTTTATTATTAGATTATTACATTTTATTTTGTTCATTGTTGTCATGCATTATGATATATATATATATATATATATATAATTCCAAAACTATTATTCAAAATATTTTCACTTTTTATGTTCATTTTGTCATGCATTGATAAATATTTTATATTAAATTATTATTATTATTGAAAATATTTTTATGTCTGGTGAGAGTCAAATCTTTTTCTTATTATTTTTTTCTAATGTGAGTCTGATCTGGGGGAGGAGCCTCACTCTGACATGTCCCGCCCAAACTTTACAATCCTTTAGTCTGTTTCCTGTGTGTGTGAGGTATGAGACTGCTGCTGCTGCTGTATCATTCTGAACTACTGAACAAGACCTGCTCTCACCTCAAACACACTCGGTACAACCGCTGTTATTTTGTTTTGTGTGCCATTTCAGAAACATTCTTCATATGCCTACAGGACTGTTAAGGTGTACTGTAACCTGGAGTGTAACTCAAGACATCAGGAAAAGGTGAGCATATAAACATTTACTTCATAAACACACAATTCTAGGAAGAGCTTTAGGAGCATGTGTTAAGGTGAGTAACAGCTTTTTTTTTTCACTTTTCTTTATTTTCACGGCCATGAAATCTCACAACACTTCAATAGTCATAGATTCTGGAAGTTAATATTGTGTTTGTATATATGTATATATATATATATATATATATATATATATATAGCAAATCTATAATACAGTGATCAATCTTTGTCTACAAAGCTTGATCGTCTTCTCTTGACTCTGGAAGATGATCTGAGTCTTACCAGAATGTGTACTTAGCAAGTCTCTGCTTGCATCTTAACAGGGTTTCAAACCTTCACGCTGTGATGACAGAGATTCTCTGGAAAAGGCTGGTTGCACTCCACTCGGCATAGAAAACCCTCGAGGAACGGTCACCATCGACAAGAACAAACCCGTCACAAACCGTAAAATTGATGGAGGACAGAATCTGAGGCCTGATGAGATCACCCAGATTCAGCCACAGAAACTCACTCTGAACCTCCGATCAGGTACTGGACCCTATCTGTGAACAACAAAAACATCACTGGATGTGTCTGAATGTGTTGTGAGATATAAATCAAGTTCATCTAAAATGTAATTTCTTCATTTACTCACCCATATGTTTTTCCAAACCTGTATGTATTATTTCCTTCATGGACCACAGAAGGATTTCCGAAGAACATATTTGCCACACTTTTCAATATAATGAAAGTGAATAAGGACTGAGGATGCTTGTGAAGGGGAAAAAAATGAACAAAAAAAGTAATAGTAATTACCATAAAAGTACTATAAATGTGGGCATTAAAGACTCGTTATGTCATATTCCAAATCTTCTAAATCTATACATTAGATTTGTAAAAGAAATCGGCCAATATTTATTCACTGAAAACCTTGACATGCGCTCTCATTGCCATTCACAGGAAAATCAACAAGAGTCTGACTAATAAACGAATCATTTTTTGAGTTGATCCTTTTCAATTAATCAGCTGATGTAGTTCACCGAGCTGGCCTGAAAGTCTTGTTCACGAATGGATTCGGTTCTCGAGTTCACCCACTGACTGACCGGGAAAATTATCGGTGACTGAACTCAAATTTCTGTTCGTCAAACAAAGCTATTGTACGACTAAATATTTGTAATGTATTGCACAAGTCGAATCGATATGTTGCTTTTTTTGTTTTGATTTTGGAGCTTGACAGCCCCTTGACAGTCCTCATTCCCTTTCATTATGTAACCAGAATAAAAATGTAAAAAAACCTTTTGTGTTCTGCATAAGCAAGAAAAAATTCATAAAGGTCTGCAATGACGTGGGTGAGTCAATTTTTTACTATTAAGTTGACTATTCCTTTATTAGTTAACATAGTGATAGAAGTCTGATCACCTAGAAAATAAGTTTAGCAGACTGGTCATAGCATTCATGGCATATTTTTTCACCCTACAGATGAATCACAGAAGTTTACTCTCAAGTTCAAGAGGGCAGAGGATTATCCCATCGATCTGTACTTCCTGATGGACCTCAGCGACTCCATGCGAAGTAATCTTGAAAATGTCAAGAACCTGGGAACCGAACTTGCCAGGGCGATGCAGCACATCACAAAAGACCTGCGGATAGGTTAGGAGAACACATGCTCACATCCACACCTGCATACGCTTTTATTGTTAAATGATCTGCTAACTCTTGTTTGCAGGTTTTGGTTCATTTTTGGAGAAACTGGTTATGCCTTACATTCTGATGACACCGAAGTATCTGAAGAACCCATGTTTTCCAAATGACTGCTCCGCGCCCTTCAGCTACAAAAATGTCCTGAACTTGACCGACGATGGTGCATTGTTCACCCAAGAGGTCAGCCAGCAGAAAACCTCTGGAAACCTGGACTCTCCCGAGGCAGGATTTGATGCAATCATGCAAGCTGCTGTCTGCACAGTGAGTAGAGCTGAACATTCCATAAATGCCAGAGAACTATGGGCAAAGTCTCCAATACAAGTTTGCACATGCAGTGTTGTACTTGCCCTGCGAATGGCTGCGCCCACAGCTACTTTCTTTTTGCTCCAATAAAATAGTTTTTCTAATGGAAAATGCTCCAAATGTAGAAATTCAGAAGTTTAACTCAGATTTTCTTATAATGTATACATACTTCATCATTATCTTCATATACTGGTTCTGACTGTCACCCGAGGGTTGTGATTTAATTTTAAAACACTAAGCGTGTAGTCAGTGTGTGATTGAGCCTTTGTAAAATCAGAAACACACTCAATATCTCATTGAGTCCTAGGGAGCAGCATGCAACAAGTTTGGACAAAATCTGACCATTTGAAGCTGTGTTCTATCTGCTGTGTTTTGATTGTATTTCAGGAAGTGATCGGCTGGAGGAATGTTACTCGCCTCCTTGTGTTCTCCACGGATGCTGGATTCCATTTTGCTGGAGATGGAAAACTGGGTGGCATTGTTCGACCAAATGATGGGAAATGCCATCTGGAGAATAATATGTACACCATGAGCAACTACTTTGTAAGTATGTGTTTTATAGATAGATAGATAGATAGATAGATATTCAGACAGTCAGAGAGACCACTGGAAATGTCAGAATGTGTCTTTGATTTCAGTTGTTTTTAACAGGACTACCCCACCATCTCTCAGGTGGTAGACACACTGAGTGACAACAACATTCAGACCATCTTTGCTGTGACACAGCAATTCAGAGATCTTTATCAGGTGTGTGCAATATGTGTATTATATCTTCTCCACATTGTAACAAGATCATGTTCATCATCTCATAATATAAACATCAGCTTTAACTCCGATTGTAGTCTTTATTGACTCATAATGTGTGTGTGTGTGTGTGTGTGTGTGTGTGTGTGCAATAGGAGCTGTCTGCACTAATCCCTAAATCAGCAGTGGGGACACTGTCTACCAACTCTTCCAATGTCATCCAGCTCATCATTGATGCATATAATGTGAGTTTAAGTAATTTATATAATGTCTCTGTCAGTAATGGTTGGCTGTGGTCAGCTCTAGTTCTTTTTAGGGTTGAAAGGAAGTGAAGCTAAAACCACTGTTACTCTTTTCTTGTTTGCAAAGGATTCTACTTTACAGCAGTTCCCACGCATAATGGTTGTTTATAATCTTAAATATGTACTCAGTCATTTGAATGATCAGAAAATGGTAAGAAGCTTATTGCTCAGTCGGATCAACAGTTCTGCGACCAGTAAATTTAGAAGTTTAAAGGCACAGTGCACCAAAAAATGAAAATTCTGTCATCATTTATTCACCCTCATGTCGTTGCAAACTTTTTTGTGTTTCTTTCTTCTGTGAAGCACAAAAGAAGATATTTTGAAGTATTGAATTTTAAAACATCTTCTTTTGTATCCCACAGAATTAAAAACAAGTCATACAGGTTTAAAATGTTATGAAGGTAAGTAAATGATGACAGAATTTGAGTGAACTATGCCTTTAAAAGTAGTATTTGAATGACTGTTTGCCAAGCACTAATATACTCTTTGTTTAATTGTGCCAATCAGTCTTTGTCCTCAGAGGTCATTCTGGAGAACAGCAAGCTACCTGCTGGTGTATCCATCTCCTACATCTCCCACTGCAAGAATGGAGTGAGCGAAAAAGGAGAAAATGGGCGAAAGTGCTCCAACATCTCCATTGGGGATGAGGTGAGAGAGTGAACTTCTGAACATCTGCACTTGTCCGTGCATGTAGAGTGACTCCCTTTTGATAGCTGTGGCTGAAGCTTAGTGCACAAGTTGGTATATGGTATCAAATATGGTATATGCAAAATTCCAGCTCATGCCCATTGATCAATGATATTCTAGTGTGCATACATCTAGGACACATACCAGTTCAGACTGTAGCAGCACTGAGCAACACCCAATGAAATTGCGAAAGGAAAGACTGGAAGAGGAGGGCGAGGTGTTGGAAACAAAAACATATATATGTAATTAAAACTAGTTCCAACTAGTTATTTTTATTTTCAGTTCTGTGCAAATCAGCGCAAAGCAATCTCCATGTTGCACTTCTTCAGTGCAGATAAACTGATGGAGTATATGCAAGTTTTATATGAAGTACTGCATCCTAAAATAGCACATTGTAGAAAAAAGGTTACATTTATTTGTAAAAACTGGCAGCTGTGATTGCCAGAAATTCTCCATAAAAATAAGGTGAGAATGTTTCAAAAATTATCAGATGGCATGTTTGTGTCTGTACATTTTACAACATAAAATTGTATGAAATCTAAGAGTTCTGATAACTCATTAGGGTTTGCAGTGCATTTGACATCAAAATAATGAAATAAGATAAATTATAACACAAAACAAACTAATGCACAATTATATCAAATCTAGTCATGTGTTGATGTACAATTAAGTTTTATTGTAGTGTTTTAAAGCTTTGTAAAAATTCATAATGTTTTTTACAGTACACGACTCTTTAGTGAATCTCTAAATATGTACAAAGAGCTTCTTATTTGTAGTGTACACAATGCTAGTGCCTTAGAATTCAAAACAATGTGTTGTACCTCATAGGTGATGTTTGATATAGAAATCACAGCTAAGGGCTGTCCGTCTAAAGATAAATCAGAGACTATAAGGATCAACCCGCTGGGCTTCAGCGAGAAGGTGGAGATCGTCCTCAACTTCATCTGCGAATGTGAGTGTCATAAAGATGGAATCCCAAACAGTCCGGAGTGTAGCGGCAGCCATGGCACTCTGGAGTGTGGAGTATGCAGGTTTGAGAGGCTGTTAATCTCATATGCAAATGCAGATAATATGACAATTATCCTGATTCAACGTTATCTCTTATATCAGATGTAATGAAGGCCGGTTAGGCAGATTATGTGAGTGCAGCCAAGATGAGTTCCTAACAGACGATCTGGACGCAAACTGCCGCAAGGATAACGAGACGGACATCTGCAGCAACAATGGAGAATGTGTCTGTGGAACGTGTGAGTGCAAGAAAAGAGAAAATCCAGAG